AACAGTTACTGTCAATCTTTGTTTTTTGTGGATTCCATATTTGCAAACTGACTACTTGCAAAAATCTATTTGTAACCCCCAAATCAAAACTCAGTGCTTTTACAATCAGTCATGGACACGTGCAGAGTGGAAAAAATTTGAGTCTTACTATGCACATACATATACCCAGCTGAGGCCAAACATAGCAATGCTCTGACATTTTGTTTCAGCTTACATAGTGTAAAGAAGTTCCTTTCCATGGCTAATTAATTTTTTTAAAAAATTTTTTTCCATGGCTAATTTAATGCCCAGGTTGTTTTTTGTTTGTTTTGTTTCTTTTTGTGTGTGTGCTTTTTATTGGTGATTTCACTGTTTAAAATGTCCCATATTTCAGCACAGTGCTGAAAGACTACCTAGTTTTCTTAAACACAAAAGACTGTCATGTGCATTACAGAGAAAACATTGTATCAGGAAAACCTTTTCTGGCATGAGTTATAATGTCTTGGCTGTAAATTCAATGTTAATGATGAACAATATACCTTAAAAAACGATGTCTTTTAACAGTTACACACATAAAACAAGGTCATGTATTAATTGGTTGATGAACATGGTATGAAGAGATTCTCAAAGGAAACTCATCCTGTATTTTCCCTAGGAGTAAATGGTTCAGTATTCATTAATTTAGTGTTTGCTGCAACTTTATATAACTACCATGTATAACAAGAATGGACCATACTACTATATCTCCTTTATTACTTATTTAGATATGAAGAAATAAGGTAGAGAAATATTAAGGAATGTGTTTGAAGATACCAAAATAGTTATTAGACAAGTTAGAATTTCAACTTCCATACATCTGATTTAAAGTTCCAGTGTGTGTATTGCAAACTCAATCCTCTACTGATAGAATGAGTTTCACTACAAATTTTCCCAGGGGCTAGAAAATAAGTAAATGAACATGTTTTTCTCTCTTTCTCTTTTTCTCTCTAAATTGGATATTCAGAGTTTTTTTTGTGTGTGTATGAACAATGTAAATTTCCCCCAAATTACCATGTTATTCATATTCATTTATTAATTATTTCAACAAATAATTGGAGTATCTACTATGCTTCAAGACATAATCATTTCTCAACAGGCTTAAAATCTACTGCTGAAAACAGACCTAGAAACAAATAATTTGACTATTATCAGAGATGTTACAATGTTATGTAAGAAAAATGCTAGAAGTAGAGATATTTACAAGGTTTCAAAAGGCCAGACAATTAAGAAAAATTTGAATTCTGCTTGGGATTTGATGAAGAGACTTTTGAGTAGGAGGGATTTTTGTGCTGGATCTGGAAGGAACTTGTATCAGATTGGAAACAGGAAGGATAAACTACATAGAGAACTAAAATAGACTTAGAAATATGACAAAGCCCCAGGGTTTGGAAAAGACTATCAGAAGGGAAAAGACTTTTAGAATATCTTTTCTACCAGTTTCTAAAAATGAAACTATTACTATGCTTTATCATTCTAAGACATACAACCACACTTTATTTTTTCTCCAACTTTAGTAGGTTGTAGCCATCCTAGCTCAGTTTTATTGATGCATCAAATCAATCTTTTAGTAAATCCAGCATTACTAGGCATTTTAACTAAAATGCATTACACATAACTACATTGAAAAGAATGCATTCTCTTTAAATAATTTTGCTTAATCTTTTTTTATTCACAGTTTAAAAAAATGAAAAAACTCAGTGATACTTATATAATTACTAATTTTATTGTTAAGATTCTATGCTACATCTTGTTTGAGAAGAGAGGAATCCTGGAGCTTGTCTGGGATACAAAGATGGATCAGAAAAATGTCTTTTTCAAGATTTGCTAATAATGTGAGATATAAAGAGATATAGGAGAGAAAGTGCTATTGGAATTCAGAGGCTCAGAATACCAAAAAATTGCTTTAAAAGACTAAGACAGGGATCCCTGGGTGGCTCAGCAGTTTAGTGCCTGCCTTTGGCCCAGGGCGCGATCCTGGAGTCCTGGGATCGAGTCCCGTGTCGGCTCCAGCATGGAGCCTGCTTCTCCCTCTGCCTGTGTCTCTGCCTCTCTCTTTCTCTCTATCATGAATAAATAAATAAAATCTTAAAAAAAAATAAAAGACTAAGACAGACCAAGTCAGCCTGAGGGCACAGAGGAGGCAAAGACCAAGAGTTAAGAACATATAGTACAATCAAGAAGCAGGAAGTGGTGGAGCACCTGGGTATCTCAGTCAGTTAAGCGTCCAACTCTTAGCTTCAGCTCAGGCCATGATCTCAGGGTCATAGGCTTGAGCTCTATATTGGGCTCTATGCTCAGCAGAGAATCTGCTTGGAAGATTCTTCCCTCTGCCCCTTCTCACCCTCTAAAATAAATAAATTAATTTAAAAAAAGGAAGAAGAAGCACAAAGTAGTTCATTTGGCAACAAGTCTGTGAAGAGGAAAAGTGCCTCATGCATTTGGCTATAAAGATAGGTAACCTACATCCTGTGGAGTGTACTAGAAGATGACATAAAGGATTTGAGTTGTCATTCAGGGGGCCTTGGAGCTCCAGTGAAGGTTTCTGATCTAAGAAGTGACATAATCAGAGCTGTCCTAGGAGAACTAATAGGACTATGATGTACACGATGAATAGAGATGTAGGTAAAGATCTGAGGGAAGATGAAAGGAAAGAGACCATGGAAATAATGTAGGCTGAGGCAATGAAAGGCTAAATTAGGATAGCAGCAGTGGGAAAAGAGAGGAAAGAATGGATAGAAAAGATACTGTGTAGGCATATCCTATAAAAAAGGAAAAGAATGAAAAGTCAACATAAAATTATAATTCCAGCCTAAAGACCAATAATCCTACAAAGAGAAGTAGAATATGCAAGAAAACTTGCAATTCAAGATAAGCTTACTTTATGCCATATTAATCCTGATGTGCTAGCCAATAAGAAATGCCCAGAGCCCTTGGAAACAGAGGACTGAAGTTTAAGTAAGGTACAAGCGATGTTGAGTAAGGCTATAAATGAGAGTTTATAATCAAGGAAATATGATAAATATATATAATATTTCTATAAAATGGTGGAAAGTAGAACAAAAGTGGTCCAAAGTTGTCTTGGACTTCAGAAAATTGGAAGATCATTTTCAGATGGAGTTTGGGGCTTGCTGGTCCGGCATTCAGAAAGACTTGCTAGATCTAGGCTAAGATTCTGACAGACAGGGATGGAAGAAGGAATTCTAGAACAGGAGGGCATTCCAGAAGCCTGCAAAGACAATGAAATAGAAAAATTCAGTTCCTGTTTGTGAAGAAATGGTTAGGACACCAACATGCTGAGAATTTTGGGTAATGTGGAGGATTAGTAAGAGAGGGGGATGGAAATTTCTGACTATGCCAAAATGAAAACAAAATAAAAAGCAGAATTGCTCTAAGTCAAACCAGCTAATGTCCCCATGACTGGTTAAACTAATTGTTCATTCAGCCAATGCACTCTAATGAGTAACTCAATCAAAATATGTTCCCAGTATAACCTGGTAATCTTGATTTCTTCAGTTTCAGCATCTAAAAACCTTAAAGCCTTACACTATTAAAGGTTAAAGGTGGTTCTACAGATTGTTTAGTTTACCATTCTACCTGATGTTTCAACTGTATCTAATGTTTTTTGAAATTACAACTTTATTTTGCATCAGGGACTTCAGATGTTAGTTTTTAATGTAAATTCTAATGGATAGAAGTATTTCAGAACTACAGGGAAAATACTGACTTGGCTTACTTTATCGTGTTTTTCAAGTTTGAAAACTTTCATTCTTTGTAAAAAAAAAAGTGCTGGAAATGCTTAAATGACAATAACCTTCCATCCCCCACATTTTTACAAATAAAATTTATTCTTGGACACTGATGATAAAATATAAAACTCAGTACCAATAATTCTCATTTCAGTTACTTTCAGCAGCATATGAATATAATTTAAGTATCATATGTACCTCTATATAAATCAGGGGATCAATATTACTTATGAATGATTCCATGATTTCAAAAAGTCTTCTTTTCCTCTTTTCCTCAATAGCTGATTAAAACAAACCAAACAAAACAAAACAAGAAAAAAACCCTCTGCATTCTCCAAGTGAAATGCAAATAAAACTCCCAAACGAAGAGTCTGCTGAAAGAAAACTACCTGACCTGGGAGTTTTGCCAAACCCTTATTTTCATGAACTTTATGGGGAGATACAGGAAGAACATTATGCTGGAAATGCAGAAATCAACTCAGCATTCTTGGCAGCAGTACATTTTAGCCTAGAGCACAAAAGGAGTTAATTTTGAAATGCAAACAGGAGTTGCATTAAATGTGCTTTGTTTGCCATTCAACAAGCTTTGTTTTAATGGCAAAGGCAATACTGAAATTGGGTGAGTACTTAAACTTTATTATGGAAATAAAGGAGGTTGCTCTAGAAGTCTTCCATGACAAGAAAAACATACTGTGAAGAGTTACTGAATTTCTTATTTTCCTATCCAGAACAATTCTCTATTTGCCCAATATTTTCAAGCAATGATTCCACAAAATTAAATATGGCTTTCCTGCTTCTGATAGCAAAACCCCAAACAAAACTTAAACTATGTCTCCTTTGCATGTTATAGTTAATGTGCTTTCATTATGCTTAATGTGCTTTTAATAGTCTCTTATGGCAAGATGGTGATATTAAATGTGGAAATAAAATATCCATGATACAACCTTGAATTTGCTATAGTGCCTTTTATCTGAGGGCTCAAAACACTTTACACACATTCTCATTCAGCATCTCCTTGAGGTGTATTATGTGCATTTTATAGTTGAGGACACTGAGGTGTACAATGACTAAGGGAATTGAGGTCATTTCCAGAGTTCACACTAAGCACAACCTGAATATGTCCTCTGCAGGAGTGAGCACTCTCTCCCTCCAGGTCAGAAGACCTCAAAGTGGCTGCAGTACTGGATTCTCAGGGCCAAACCTGAGTCTTTTCCTTCAGGGGACTGTCTCTCTTACCTGGACACCATCAGACGCAGGGGTGTAATTTGCCCTTTTAAATGTGTCTGTTACATTTCTGAGAATTTCCACAGACATCAGAAGATCACCTGCATAGAAATTTTTCCTCTGAGTTAAATCCAACAGTGTCTTGGTCACCTGGGACATTCCATCACCTGCCAATACTCGTTGCCCCTTAGCAAGGTGTTCTTTGATCTGTGATGGTCAAAAGAACAGAACAAATATCAGAATCTTCATTGCTATTAATCTACATATTTCCATCAAACAAATTTATTTAAAATTGCAGAATTAACTTTAAAATAGCATTGCAAAACTGTAAATTTTGTGTATCCCACACTCAGATGGATAAGCAACCAGCATGCAAAAACTAACGAGCGTATACACTTTGGCAGGCATGACAGATTTGCCTTTTCTAGTCCTCCAAATACTCAATTGAACACATTGGGAAACGTTTGTACTAATTTGGATTTTTAATTGAGGTAAAAATTTAAAAACATGCATTTGTATATTATAAACAAGTGAGATAATTCAGCAAGGTGTGATCAGAGACAGGAGATTATAAGCATTTCAAAGTATGCATTTTTCTAACTTCCAGGAAAGATGGTGGAGTAGGAGGACCCTAAGCTCACCTTGTCACTCAAAAACAGCCAGCTAACACCCACATCAGTGTAAATAGCTGAGAAAATGACCCAAAGACTGGCAGAACAAACTCCACAGCTAACTGTAGAGAAGAGGTGACATCAGAGAGGATAGAAAGGATAGAGAAATGGGACTATTGGTAGCGGGGAGGGAGCTGGTGTTGAAGGGAGAAACAGACTGTCACACCAGGGAGCACACATAACGGAAGACGAATCCCCATAATATTTGGCTTTGAAAGCCAGAGGGGCCAAATTTCCTGAGTTTTTTACATGGGCAGGAGAGCCAGGGGGGGTGAGAGGAAACTGAGTTCCTGTCCTTAAGGAGATAACTCGACAAACAGCCCCATGGAGATACAGCACAGAAGCAGCAGTTTGAAAAATGCCTGGGATACATAGGAGGGAAAAGCATTTGTATACTAATCTTGTGCTTGAGGGGTAGGTATAACTGGAAGTCTTCTCCAGGAACAAAGGAACTGGCAGGCTCCATTTCCCTCCCCTGCCCAACCTAAACATACACTCACCTTCAGGAAACAGCTCCAGGCCAACGCTCATTACCCAACTTGCTAAAGGTACACCACAGCCATCAATTCTTCTGCAGACACACCCCCTCCAGCCAGGCCCCCACTGCAGGTTCCCTCCCATAGCAGAACCCCACAAACCTTGCAGGTTTGCCACTAGGCATTCGGTCAGCACACTTATGTAGATACACCACCTCCAACCCAGCCTGCCTTGATCCTCAACAGGTTTAAGTTATCTCCCACTAGCACAAAACCAGCTGGTACCACATGCCCTGCCCCCACATTCTCCTGCAGTTCAGTGCTACTACATCTCTGGTAAGTGCTTGATCTGAACCAACTTAAGTCCAAGGCAGCCCCAGACTGGCCCACTAACAACACAGGGATCAAACTTGCCCACAACAGGCAAGAGAGCTATTGCTGATGACAGGACTGAGGCAAAAGTGGCTCAGCCACAACAGTAGGGCACATGCAATACATAGGAGATACCTCTGAAGCTCCAGGTTCTGGTGAACAGGGGATATTACACTCCAGGGCACCATAAGCCCTCTTCAACATAAGGCCACTACTTTCAAGAGTAGAAGTAGTTAACTTTCCCAACACATAGAAACAGACACAAAGCATTAGACAAAATGACAAGACAGAGGAATATCAGGACAAAATCAAAGCAAGAAACCCAAATGAAATAGAGATAAGTAATATGCTTATAGAGAATTTAAAGTAAATCCATAAAGATACTCATGAGACTTGAGAAAAGAGTAGAAAACCTCAGTGAGACATTTATCAAAGAAAACAAAAAAGAACCAATTAGAGATGAAGAATTCAGTAAATGAAATAAAAATGCACAAGATATGTCAACAAGATACTTAGAAGCAGAATGAACAATTAGGATGCAAGACTTAAACTAGTTTGATGGACAGAGAAATCTGCCACCAATTTTTATATTTGCTTATCTCACAGGTCAAGGGAAGAACATCTTATAGTGTGGTATAAAAGCAAATTAAGGAAAGGTAAAGAGATAGCAATTGTCCATTATACTTTTACTTGTTTACTAAAAGGTCAATCTTGATCATCGTATGGCTAAATTTGTGATAAAATTAAATTTTCAAAAGGGTATGTAACAATAAAGAACTAACACACCAGAAATTATCGAAATAGTAAGGTTAATGTGTAATAACTGTAATTATCAATTTCCCATTAAGAAATGTGCCAACAAATCCTTTAAAGTATGCAATCAATCTGAACTAATCCAAAAGTTATGATTTTCTGAAAAAAACATATGTTACAAATTATCTTGACACTTCAAATGATACTTTTTTCAGACTCTAAAACTCTGTCTAAAAATATTCTGATTGGGCAGCCCCAGTGGCTCAGTGGTTTAGCACCACCTTTGGCCCAGGGCATGATCCTGGAGACCCAGGATGGAGTCCCACATCAGGCTCCCTGCGTGGATCCTGCTTTTCCCTCTGCCTGTGTCTCTGCCTCCCTCTCTTTCTCTCTCTGTGTGTTTCTCATGAATGAATAAATAAAATCTTAAAAAAATAAAAATATTTTGATAAAATAAACATCTTCGGAGACATACTCTATTTCCATTGTGTTATGCTAAAAAACGTAACACAGTTAGATGTTTTATTTCTTCCTATTTTCTTCTTTCATTACTCTTCCCATCTCTCCTCAGTGGCAGCCATTGGCTACTGACTAAAGCCCAAATGATTGGATGTCATAATGATCTAGCCCTTACATCTCTATAAAATCTTAATGGGCCTTGCTCTGGAGTGAATTAACATATTAAACCATGATACAGACATGGCATTGGCCAATCAGAAAGGAAACTGATCCTCAGAGTAAAAGGCAGCTGGTTTGCCAAAAAGATATGTACTACCAAGTTGAACTTCAGTTCTGCTATTGATAACTATTTGCAATTTTCTGTTCAGGTCATGTATGCCATAACTTCATGTTTTTACACTGAACATTTCACCCTCATACCTTACCGTAGCCTGTGTTGATGCACTTTTCCCCTCATTCATTATACAACATTAAGTACATGCCCACCTTAGGGCCCTTGAACTTGCTTTTCCTTTGGCTTGGAGTAGTCTTCCCACAGAGATTCACATGTGTTTTGTTTGTTCATTTGCTTTTTGTCAATTCCTCAGGTCTTACCTGACTCCCAGTATAAAATGGTATCCTTCTCATTCTCAATCAACTACCCTTCACTGTGCTCAAACTTACCAACCATTGTGTGTCTGTCTCTTGGATTATTTGTTTTTCTGCATCTCCCATGGGAAATATAAGACTAATGAAGAAAGAAGTCTTGTCTATTTTTTTACTGTTATATTCCCTGCACCTAGAGGACTTGCTCAGTATATTGAACAAATGAATTAAATGAACAAATGAATATATCGGTTTCCTTCTATGTTTATGTTAGGTATTAAGATTACGTTAGGCACACCTGAAAGCTGTCCTAGCTTATTTATCAACATAGAAAACATAGGAAACGGTGACATCAAACAGCATGGAATAAATAAACTTCCTGACTTAAAGAGACAATGCAGCTTCTGCCTGAAAAGTGTCCTGTTCAGTAGATACAGTGTGAGAAAAGTTTCAAAGAGACATGAAATCATTAGGGTCTACCTAATAAAACTCAGACTTCAGTTTTGTGCTAGCAGTGCAAATTACAGCTGTGATACTCAAAGCTGCAGAGAACTTGAATGTTCTCCATTAGGAATAAAATGCAGCAACAGTTGCCAAGGTAAACATCATCTAACTACTTCAGATCAGCTCTATTATTTTGGCAGCCCCTATTGCTGTCTATGAGGGATTTTACTCACACTCATCTAATGCATCCTTCCCTTCAAACAACAACATCATAACACTGACTTACATCTTCAGGAATAAAACATTTAGACATGTATTCTATTTGCAATAAAAATAGTACAGAAGGCAGTGGATGGCTCAACTAATCAGAGCTAGGAAAGGCAGTCTTTCATGTCTGGGTCAGCATCAAATGCAGCCCAAGTCAGTAGTAAATTAACATCTTTGCCATCTGACAGCTGCTTAACAGGCTTATGTGAAATGAGTTGTTCTCAGTCCAGCTCTTTGCAGACAGGTGCCCCGATTACAACACCAGCTCTCACAATTGGCACTAATTAGTATCCTTCCTGGCATTGTCTGTGAAAAGCACCCAGAACAAATATCTTGTAATATTTGTCCACATGAGTGTAGACTGTTGGCAGCATTTATAAAGGGTATAAAGAGTGTTCAGATAAGGCAGATTTCCATCCAGAACATATTTAGTTGAAAAATAATTCCAAGTTCTCAATCTTCCTTCCACAACACAAGTATACTGTGGAGGTTTCTCTCCTTACTTTAAGCCTACTCTTTTGCTACCCACTTCCAGAATGAACAATCCATGTTTATCTGCTGGACAGTTTTTCTCTTTTCTGGATCATGAAGAAGTAGAGTTCAGATTGCGCTTGCTCACCTTCCGTGTTCTCTATTTCAAATTGTCCTTCACTTGAACTCCACCTCTCTTCTTTTGTTTTTATCTCTATGATTTTATGAATGAACACTATGGTTATCTCTGATTTTGAATCCCATCCAGTCCTCCTCAATCTTTCCCTCTCACAAAAATATAGCCTGCATAGTATATCTTATTTTAAATACTGCAACTTTCCTTTCAACTACTGTCTTCTTTCTGTTTCTCTTCAAAATCAAAATCAGAAGTATGGAATCTGATTTGAAACCTAGAATTCTTTAAGTTGCAAATTAAACTCAACAATTACCTACTAATTAAGCATTGTCTCGGGACATCTTACTAGTATATTACATTTCAAGAATAGCTGGAATCACAAAACCTGGATTTAAATTGTGGTTGTACTGTTTACTACATGGGAAACTGGACAAATTGTTGTTTCCCTAGTATTATTTGATTTTTCTGTGAAAAGAAACAAATGTTATTATATGGTTGTTATGACAGATTAATACAAAGATAGAGGATAAAAGTAGATACTCAGTGACTATTACCCTTTCTTATCTTCCCATC